AGAGAGAGAGAGAGAGAGAGAGAGCGAACCTACACTATGCATGCTTTAAACTTTCACTACAAATGATGATCCACAGGCGAACTCAAAGTTTTGGAAAAGACGAAATCACCACTCATCACCAACGTTTGGCTGCGCGCGCTTCGGCAGGTCGCCGAGCTGCAAGCAACCATGACGCGCACAATCTTGAGCCACAATAGCTGATATTCATTTTACCGCCATGCAAATCGCGACCAACAATTTCGATATAGATGCGGTACACGAACAAAATCAAATGAAAGCCAAGAGCAAAAAGACAAATAACTGTGTTATTTAATGAGATGGAGAAGGTGCTCGTTACCTCAGTGCGTCTAGATGCGAGCGCTTGGAATAGGTCGGGATTGTGTAGCTAAAGCCCTTGGGAGAACATTAAAAACAAAAAACGTAACAGGAAAATGCTAATACAACACAGTATAATTTACATGTAGCTGCAATTATGGCAGAGCGAGAGAAAGCACATAGCGTTACGCAGGGAAAAACAACACAATACGTACACATACATACAAGGATCATACGAAAAACAAACAGCCGGCAATGTGCACATCAAACACACAGAAATGTTCTCAGAAATGTTATTCCTCAACGCTAGTCACTGGCAGGTACCATCCCACAGATGCACTGTGGATGAGGAGGAAAAAAAAGCATCCATATATACACACCTCCCTTACTATCGCTGATGCTCGAAGGGTTGGGGCGACGTGATGCCACTGTGATCATTTTCACTTCTGTATTTTGATTCACCTCTATTTTCGATGCATTTTTGGAGGAAATATACTTCCATTTTCTACTCGTTTCCATCCTTTCTGTAGGAAATACTGCAAAAGCCCCAAATGGAAGCCACTCAATTCCTCCAGTCTGCGATTGACCCGCATTGACGTCATTGCGTCATTAGGTCTCCCCTGGAAACACGGGGCTCCCAAAAATAGCAACACATTAATTCAGCCTGCGCTGGGGTTGGCTTGGCGGGGGTGACTATTTGTATCAATCCATAACCCCTCCTCTGATTCTAAGCAATAATACAGTCCTCTCTCTCTCTCTCTCTCTCTCTCTCTCTCTCTCTCTCTCTCTCTCTCAC